TCAGGCTACTGGATGGTAAAGTTACCGAGGGGTGAGTCAACTTCCTCTCTTTGGGGAGGAGGGTTGTGGATCTAAGCAAGTTGTGTTTCATGTGCCACGTGTTGGGAAGCGTTTGGCTCCTCAATATCAACCCACTGTCCGTAGGTTACGGGCTGACTGGAGTTGAAGAGAGACGGTAGATTGTAAGTGGTGAATATTGTGGGCAGATTCCTTGTGGTTAGCTAAGTATTGTTACATAGAGCTGTAGTAGTAGGCCGGCTTAAACTGTTTCCGTCTTACGTCCAGCACAGCATTTGGCAAGATCAGTGAGGAGTTTGGCCCTTCTACTCATTTAAAACCCGATTTGAGTAGTTTTTTGTGCATGTTTGGTAATTCTAGTAAGTTACGCCCCATGATACCAATCTAGCTTTGAATAGATCTGGACGTTTGTTTTGGCTACTGCAACCGAAATAGGTTTCACTGTTGGAATATACCAAATGTACACAGTTGTTTACTTCAAAGTTATCCATTCTCTCAATGTCATATTAGTATTGGTCTTTTAATCACAAGTAATGTTTGTAATCTGCTCTCACTTTAATGATGTAAGGTGCTCGAAAATCGAGGCAACAAAACATTGTTATACGATACTACTTAACAACAAATAGTCAAGGAATGGACACGTAGGCAATATATTACAAAAATAGACTTGCACATTTATGTCTTTTGGTAATACAGTAAATGCTCTAGAGCTGTAGTACCTCGCCGTAAATAGCTACTTTTTTGCATACCCTCTCAGCCGTTTGATTATTATCACCAACTTGGGATCTGGTGAAAAGTAGTAGAGCATAGCTACCACCAGTGGCACTGCTTGGGCGTGCAGTCAGCCCAGGATTGACGCATACCACACCATCCACATCCTAAGAATAGAGTAAGGGCGCAATTGAATAAGACTGTGATTTGATTTAAGCAACGAAATGCACTTGAAAACGCTCGTAAATCTTTAATCCACCAAGAACACAAATCATTATTCCTATTGCAATGAGTAGGAAAGTGAGTGCGAGAGCGATGTTGGTGGATGAATTGAGAAATACTATTACCTACATTTAAATTTACAAGAGGTGTTACCTTGATGAATGTTCTAAGTCTAGAGGGCAGTACGATGCAATGAGGAGAGTGATCCGGGGGTAGTTGGGCGTGCTCGCACCATAGAGGATAGTCAAGAGGCAGGTCTTCGGACGCTGGATGAACCGGATAGTACGTCCCCGAAGTCAAGACGTGCCGGCAAAGGCGAGCCAAGCGATCGCCAGAACAGCTGGAATGCAACGATTGAGATAGACGAAGGTGACCACACATGTGAGAAGAGTGTATAATAGCCAGTAATCGTATACTAACTTGGCACTTATCTCCTCTGAACTCATTTGGAAGAGTACATCAGGCGAAGACAAACCAACATAATAGGGTCCAATTTTGATCGTGCTGGGATCCCACACAAATGTCACGTTTTCATACCAAGAGGCCTTTTTGAAATTGGGAAAAGGCATCGATTTAAGAGTAAAGAAATGATAGCGTCCACAACCGCTAATGCACGAAGTCGAGATTAACTACTTGACCGTCTTTTGGGATGCAAAATAAGGGGTAATGGTCATCATCAATTAGGAATCTGTAAGTTCATTCCTAGCCAAAGTACAATAAATCTTGGATCTTGGCACAAAAGACCGGACCGAAATTTATAACTTTTGCAAGCGACCAATTAGGCAAAAAGGAAACGACAAAAAAAACCATGTGAAGATTTGTTTTACCATTTCCGGATTCGTATTAGTCCAGGGCGGTTTCGCGGAATCGAAAGAGGGAGGGGTCGGGTAAACAGGACTTCCACAGACCTCGCGCCACGAGGACACTATGACAACTCTCGTCTTCAGCAGGAAGCACCACTCTGCCACCGCGTTGAGGCGGGATTGGTAAAGTTCGTCAAAGGTGGAGTCACAGTACTGCTACTTAGTAAAGGGAATAAGTCAGTTGTGCCGCGATCCTACTGATTAAGAAGCAGTAGATACTGCAAGCAGGCCTTTTACCCCAATGAGCGGATGCGAGGAGTCAACGAATGGACCGAGTAAGATTAACACATGGGGTTGTTGCTCTTTGATACTTTTTAGAAGAGCTAACAATGGCGTAATATCATGAGTGGTGTTCGTCGTGAAAGGACCACAAGCGACTGCAATACGGAGGTCTGGTAGGTAGGAAAATGACGGAGTGAGAGGAATAAAAATAACCGTCCGAGAGATAGGAGGAAACCTACCCGGACACAGTACATCTTCGATGTTGAAAAGGGGAGGAGGTTTTAACTGAAAAAGAAGTGTCAGAAAATTCGTACTAATGGCGCAAACACAAGAGCGATATAAAGGAGCCCATCTATAAATGCAGCAACTTGAACTGAATGGCCTACCTGATAAAAGTTAAACGCAGTAAGACAGCGACCATTCACGTTTGTAGCCTTAATTACGACAGGCTGACCTATGTATAAGGAATACTTAAGCGTGGAAGCATTAGTGCTGACGTCAAGCATGACTCGGCCGATATCACCACCACCAGCTCTTCTTGTACCGATGATGCAGATATTCGTCGGATCCAATCGTTGGTGCTGGACGGCGCCTTTGACAACACCGGATTCAGGCCGTGCAGCCACTCGGCCCGCCACTAGATTAGGTGTTTGCAGCCGACTGTGAATGGGGCGGAGTGCAAAAACCGCAGATTTCTTGACCTCTGAGCTCTCGTGTTTTACAGGAGTGTCTAGGACGCTAGATAGGGTGAAACGAGGCTTGTGTAGCATAGCTGAATCGGTACTTTCAAGCACAGAGGATGTGAGTGATTCCATGATTCGCTCAATTCGACTCCACGTCCAAGAATCCAGAATCTCAGCCTTAACCAGCGATCGTTGGTACATGTATCTCGAGCAATTATTTTTCTGCATTGAGACGGGTTGGATTTTCAAAGAGAGATCAGCCAAAGGAAGCAGAGTTGATCGAATAATGGTCTGAGTAAGAGATTGTTGATCGTCCACTTGGGATGGAAAGGAACAAAGTATTTTCTTTGTAGATTTGATAATGCAGGCTAAAAAGGTTAATAAAATTCTCAAGTCGCACAACACTGTTGTGACATGAAAATGAGACGAAACATAAACAACCGATAATGTGAAAAGGCCAATCTCCCAAAATCACTCACGTGATGAGACCGAGATTTCGGTAGCAAAATTTGTGGAACTTGGAGCTGCATCCAGTCCCATTTTTCCGAGGTAAGATCCCATAAAGTCTTCTTTTCGTTCGAGACTTTGTGAAAAGAGACTTAAAAAATTATCGACTAACATACAAGTCTTTTCGCATTTCATTGGGGAGAATGCTAGGAGAGCTTGTTGATTTCTTGTTATGATGGTTAGGTGACTTGAAACTTAGAGCTGAGAGCTTCTAAAAGTAAGTAATAGAGAGCCGAACCTCCTTTTCAAATAACGAAACATCGGTGAAACCCAAAGAACCAGATAACCCCCGGTTATTGCAAAAGGCGACGAATTTTTCCACGAGAGATAGAGGCGGTAGACAGTATTTTTCAGACAGCGCAACAACTAAATGTATTACACAACATCTCTCGAGTATTACATATCTGAAGCACATCATCATCTTCTACTGTCAAGCCAAATGCACCTAAGTCATCCCGAACTCTAACGTATAATGGAATCTCCGATGCATCCATACCACAGAAGCGAAAGGTCAGAGCTCCCCTCAGGGTCACATTTGAAATTCGTGAAGGTATTATTACGATTTAAGAAATGCCAAATAAGATTACAGACTAAATTATTTAAATCGCAGTTGCTTAAATTAAAAAAGTTAGTTGAAAATTTTAAACAAAAAAGACAATGACTTCATAAAAAGCATATTTGCTAATTAATTGTAGAATACTTAATTTTTTTATGCTTTGACATAAAAAGTGATAATACAATTAATATTCGACTTGTGTCGATTTTGTTTAGATTGTTCGCAGCAGTGTTTTGTGTGGCTCATTTAACCGGTCTGCGTGCGTTAGGTATCCTCGTAGTCTTGAGAGTTGTTGGGCGTTTTTGTATATATTTGCTATCTAGGATTAGTTATGCTGCGTAAACTTTAGGTCATTACCTGACGGATGTAAAACTAACGATACTCTAAGCGTTCAAATATTCCTCATCAAATTTTCTGCCGTTTTTTTATGTCTGTAGGCAGCTCATTGCTTTTGCAGCATTAGTTGGTGCATTTTCTTGTTATGGTCAGGTAGTCGTAGGTCTGTCTCTGACATTCATTTGGACTTTGAATAAAAGCAGACTTAAATAAGCGCAGATAGATGTGCCTTGCACATGGTGGTGAATCTCCGGTGTGAAGCGTGGAGGTTTTCTGTACTTGTGCGAAATGGATCTGATTCAGCTATTCACACCTGACCGCACTTTTTAGTTGGGCAGGGTTGGACGCTGAAAACATTCTACGTAATCTCCATCATGTATGGTTAATGGTCCTAATGAAGTTTCAGGAATTCTTGCTTGGTTATTCGCTTCTTTTCGGACTGTCGATTCTGACGGATTGTTGGCTGCTTGCGTTTTGCTTAAATGCTTCTTAGGTCGATATCCCTTTATGTATCTCCGTCCCATTTGGCGATGATACCGTGCCCGATTTTATCGGTTTCAGGTTGAAGCTCTTTTCTCGATTGTTTCATAGAGATGAGTAAAAAGTCTCGAAAGTTCAAGAGGGCTGCCGCTGTAGCTGCTGAGCGGAAATCGGCTTTAGGGTTGAAAAAGAAGGAAGGAAAAGTTAAAAA